TATCAAATTGACATAGGAATAACAGAGAGATGGCAATTCTAAGGTAAAAACCCAGCGCATGCAGTGTTCATGTTTTTTTTGTTTTTTTTTTCATCGGACGGCTTCCCGCGCCCCCCCTGCAATGACACGGCGCGCCCCACAGTTTGGGAACCTCTGATTTACGACTTACCTGTTATCCTGCAAGCCTTATTTCCCCTGAAAGAGCCGTCAACATCCCCAAAGTGGTCTTTAAATAGCTACAAGAGGCCAATATCATTAGATAAGCTTTATTGCCTTTCCCAAGAGTAATATTATCAAGCCGCACTAGTGAGACTATAGTGCCAGTGTCCTGCGGTCATTCCCATCCGTGTTCTGAATGCCAAGCCGAGAGCGTTGCCGCCGCCGCCGCAGACAAACCATTAGTCTCAGCAACTCGCAGACAATGTTGGGCCAGCGAGGTGGTGGAGGAGAGGCAGAGCAGACGAAATGAGGACCCAAGAGTGACATCGAACAGCCGATGTGTTTGTTTTCCATCGCAGAGAGGAATCATTGCATAAAAGAGGTAGGCCGACTTTTCTAGGCTAAAAATAAAGAGGAACATGTCGGAACAGATGCAGATGATCGTCTGCCTTTCGCCTCCCCTGCATAAATTTTCTAAGAAACTTAGTTGGAAAACAACAGTTCTTATTTAGGGAAAAATGTCAAAGATAAAAGGTGTGCCATAACCTTGTTGCATGATTGCTCACGCCCTAAAAGCTCACGCCCTTGAAGCATCTTTTGACACCACATTTCAAGAGTTCCTCACATTAGTCAGGTTTAATTTAAGCGATAAAGAAAAGTGAAATTCAGTCAAAAGGTGATTCAACACGGTGTTGGTTGAACATGTTGAACACTTGTGCAATTGGGTTACTGCACTTTATTTATTTCTTTTTTCTCCCAACCAGATTTGTTTGGATTGAATTGTCTTCAGCCCATTTGCGTGGCTTTGTAACAGGGATTTGATCCGTTTTCATATCCACTCTAACTTCCAGGCTCCGGCGCTGCATAATTTCCAGATCTTTCACCACACCTGCCATTGTGTCATGATGCAAAGGCAATACAGACGAATGTGTTGCTTCATTCCAGTTCGACTATTCATAACACAGACGGAGCAAACATTTGTTCGACATTATCACAATTATTTAGAACTGTGCCAGTCTTCTTTTTTTCTTTTCTTTTTTTTTTGCTCTAGATCTTGTTCTCACTCTTGGCTCCGTCGGTGTCTCAAATCTGACAGTAAAAGAAGATTTATGAAAGTTACGTCAAGGCTGCAACGCATGTCAGTCTGGGCAGTCCTTGCCAAATGACAAGTCTGAGAATAGAGATCGGACTCCAGGATTACGTCCACATCCATGCATGCGCGTACATGCATACTCCACGTCCGACACAGAACTCGGCCAAGCAAGCGGATTATAACATTTGGTTCGTCCTCTACTGGAAGACAAGAAGTGCAACACAGCGACAGGAAATAGAATAAGTCAAAATGGCTCACGTAGGGATGAAAACGTTACTTAGCGAGTCTTTTTTTTGCAGCAGACGCTAATCTAAGTTGAGCCTTATCCCCCGTGATTCATCATCATTACCAGCTCCATCTGGTGCTCATCCCTCTGACCGCCTCTTTCCTCCTTCCTGCGTCTGATGCAGGTATTTGTCAGCGGGAGTCGGCCTCCTCTAGGTGGTCGGAGCGTCAGCCAAGCGATCTGTTTTGCACACACAGACACATGTATACACCTGCAGGCTAAGACAGAAGGACCTCACCTATCACTTGTCTGGTCGAAGCTTCAGAATGTTAAAAGTGTTTCTACTCTGTCACTCACTGCTCGCGACCAGATAGCACACAAATACATAAGTCTGTGCGTGCATGTGTGCAGTTGGATTAGTTTACCCCTCGGGGCCAACACAACCTTTGTCTTCCTGCTGTCTTTTTTTTTTTTTTTGTGGGGTAAAGTTGACAGGCGTGTAGGCTGGTGAGGTCAGGGGTCATAGAGTTTAGGTATATCTGCAGAGAGAGCCTTCAGCTGTGGCATAAATGACCATCTCTGATCCGGTGCCTGTTGACACCTTCTAAACACCCGCAGCTTGCGCTCTGGCTGGCGGTGAGGTGCAGTGATTTAGAAGAGCACCTGCTTGGCCGGGTTTAGATCTGGCACGCAATGAGTCAACCTTTCTCGTAATGCTGGAGCTGGAAGTGAGTTTCTGTCAAACAGAAAGGATCCAAGAAGATTAAATGGCAATGAGAAATGGCAAAGCAAGCGAGCAAGTGCCGCATGGATAGGCTGAAAATATGGATGTGTTTTCTGTTCCCGGCAGCACATTTTGTCCAGTTCTCTCCACCGGAGCTTCAGTTTTCTAGTGCTGCTGCTGTTTCGTCTCACAAGATAACTGCAAAACATTGAACTTCAAACTTTTCATAAATTGTTGTATAGGTTTCCTCAAGCAACCTCTTAATTGTGGTAGATAACATGGTGGACGGTGAACTGGACAGGTTAGGCCTTTTTTTCTGACTCTAGAGTTATGCCTTTCATTTAGACAAAAATAAAAACCTACAGTAGGCCAGTGATGACTTCAGGACTCTTTTGGAGGCTTGCTGTCTGAGTTCAGAGAGTTCAGAGTATTTGTGTGGATGGCCAGGGGTGTCCTAATTGATTGCGCACCACATATTACATTGTTATTTTGCATTTTACAAAAAGTTATGATAATCTCCTTCGGTTGTTGTCGCGCATTTTCATCAAAAATAATTACATTTAACATCCGTCTGCCCAGATATGTCAGAAAAACAGACGTGTCTTAGATTTTTCCCAGCTATATGATGGCGCTTGACTGTAAAGCATAAAGAATTAGCTGCAAGCGTTTTAAGAAAAATAAAGTCATGCATCCTGATGATAAAGAATTGCAATCATCCACTAGAAAAACCGAATGCACGGACTTGTTTTTTTCTTTTTTTCAGCATCACCTAGCATAAGATATTTGCTGCATAAACAAACGTGTTCGTTTGCGGCGCAGATTTTCTGCTACACGGGGTGTGGAGCCGCTGTGAGGCAAGGGCTTCATATGCATGCGATGGTGCTAGAGTGTTTATCTAACTCCCTGTGTGGGAATTTACAGACACACCTCACGAAGGCACAAACAACGGTGACCTAGAAAAATAGTCGAAATTCCAGCAACATACCAGAGAATCTAGGGGTTTGCGCTGACAATGCAGACTCGAGGCAGAGGTGTGGGAAACAGAGGAGATAGAGGGTCAGGGTCAGCTTGTGTAGGCCTCACAGACGCAGATACCAGTGAGTGATACCAGCTGACACGTTCTGATGCTGACACTAACAGCGATACCGCGGCTACCTGAGTGACACTGATAGATAGCGCAGAGCCATCCCAGACTGCAAGCCAGAAGTGATTCTTATGAATTTTTAGAAAGCAATTCTGACGTCTTCAGACTTCTACTGGTGGGGGGGAACATAAAAAATACATTTGTTTTAAAATCACATGGATTTCAAGCCCTGTGTGGTAAATAAGTCAAAAGCTTCTTCTGTGATGTCTACCTGCACCCAGACTTAATTCACAATTGTGTATTTATTGTTGCTTCAAGTAGACTAAATGGTGTTTATCGCATCACTGGAGCCAGTACACCACTCTCAGTCTCCGAGACTCCTCACCTTTGAAAACACAAACCGACCAAAGATACACACAGACTCACTTGTACGACAGATCTCGAACTCGTCCCACAAACAAACACACTCCATGTGGAATGCGGGAGGCTGTTTTGTTTGTGTTTCGAGGTGCAGCTTTCGCTGGTTTTTATTGCTTCGGCGTATGTATTTGGCATCGTAAAGCCTCGGGAAGGTCCTTATGTCTTCCTGGTTTTTTTCACGTACACCCAGGAGTAGTAACTGTTTCCTTTGACTAGGCTTTGCGTTGTAGCAGGCAGCAAGGCTGGACATCATGAGTAAGGACACGGTACAGTAGCCTGAGTCGCTCGGTAAACAGTTGTAAACAGCGAGTGCTCGGAATGACGCGGCCGAATCCCTCGTGGAAAACATTTACACCGAGCTGCCACTGGAACAATATCATTTCAGTTGTGCTATAAAGCACTGCGCTAACTGAAACAACAGAAGGGAACTCATCTGTCCCTCTGTGTGTTCAGAGAGCCTCTCGCTGTCTTTAGAAAATATAATTAAATCGTTGATAGTGGTGCTTTTGTAAAAGTTTAGTTGTGTTCTAAGAGGTTCTAAGACCCAGATCTCATGGATTCAGAATATTTGCAAAAGTAAGTCAACAACTAGCTAAAGTCTGTGTAATTCACTGGAATTGTATGTGATACACCAGCACAAAATGGTGCATACGTGTGAAGTGGAAGAAAAATGATACACGGAAAGTCGGAAATTTGTTGTCTCCCTTCGCGTTCAGCCCCTTTACTCTGATACCCCTAAATAAATACAGTGTTACAATTCATCTTCAGCAGCCATCTAATTAGTAAACTCGTGTATAATTTAATCATGTATATAGATCCGTTCTGTGAAGGCCTCAGAGATTTCTTTGAGAACGTTACTGAACAAGCAAAATCAGCAACTCTAAGGAACAGATATTAATACAAGAACTGTTAGTCGTGCACATCACAAATATGTCCTTTACGCGCAAGTATAATTTGCTACATCTAGGCTGTGTCCGATTGTCCTTCCTGAAAAGAACCGAATCCAGAATCCAGCAATGATGCCAATTCTTTTGATTGTATGGCATTTTCTTTTTTTTTTTTTAACTGTGACTGAAAGCAAATACTGCAAACACTACAGAACGCACTGTAAATGTAAACCAACTTAAAATCACAAGATAAAAATGATAAAGTTAGAAAAATAATCTATCTTAGTAACGTAAGGGCTAATTCTTTAAACTGCACAGACAAGATGGCACAACCACGTAAATGACAGAAGTGCAAAACAAACACAAGAGAGAAGAGCTTCGTGGAAAAGGGAAGCGAATGAACTGCAGCGGTGTCCCAATGTCTGAATGAACTGTGGTATTTCAATTACACTGCGTTAAACCGAGCAGTGGAGACACGCATTGTTTTGGCAATAACATTTTGCATCCAAGTTTCTTTCAGTTACTACAGCCAACTTCTGACACTGTTTTGATCCACCTCAGAAGGGAGATTTGCTCCTCTTGTGCAGAGAATGTGGAGGAGGGAGAAGCGTAGGTGTGCTTGCCAGATTGCACATATATGGCGCGAAAGCACTATAAATCACTCATGCGATATGTTTTGCGTGGTTTTAAAGCGCTGTGTTTGTGCAATGTTTATGCTGATTCAAAGATATCCCCATTCAAATACAGATACTTCAGAGTTAAATGAACATTTCAGGCTACTCAAAGAGAGGTTCTGTCAGCATCTAAGGTGACGTACAGAAGATAATTGTCCCAGCACTTAAATAAAACACAGAAGTCTATCTAGAGGGGTGAGCATGATTGGTTTCTGCATATTTTTTGGATCTGGCATTAGATTTCCCAGATCGTTCTTATCTTCTAGGCTGCAGATCAGCGTTCTGTTTTTGTAGATAACGTTCCCTGATTCCGGACTGCGGCTTCCACCTGATCTCTGCCCACTCCAACAGCGGAGCCGAGAATGTGATTAAACATGGTAAACTAAGACGAATACAGTATTTATTCAGGTTGGTACACATCAATAACCATAGAGTGCAAAACTAAAAAGGGTGGAAATATATATTCAGAATGGATTTTGAATGAACTGCGCTCAACTTTAGGAGAAGAGAAAATAGAGATTTAAATCAGACACAATTGTGTCAGTTTCGGAGTATTTTCACTCAGGTTGTTGGATTGTCCAAAAATTCAAATTCTGTCAAACACTTTTATACTCAGCACAGGCGGCTGGACTGTACCGAGTTGGAAAAAACAAAATACAGACTTTTTGCTTTGTAATTTAAAGTCAACATAATATGAACTACAGAGGACGAGGATAAACTGGGAGATGACTGAGGTAATTTAGAGTCCAACAAAAAGGTCCTAGCTCCCTACAAGGGCTATTCTTAGATAGATTTAAGCCACTTTGTGTCTGACTTGGTCCTGATCCATGCATTGGAAATTCCAGGGGAGGAACACCAACTCCAAAATCCTACCCTGGCTCCCAAAGATGTTCCTTCACTGGAAACCCACTAGAGAGAGAGAGTGGAGGAGAAAGGCAGACCATGACCAAGTGATAACCAAGGTAAACCAAGTGTTGATTAAACAGAATAAAGAACCCAACGCTTACATGAATGATCAACAAAGGCAGCAAATGAATTGAAACGCATGGCAAATAATGTAACACAATAGGGATCAGGGGCATGGGAACATGGTGGTAAATCAGTAGGAGACTCCAGGGAGGAATGGCTGAAAACAGAGACCCGGTGGGACAGAGACAGGGAATGGGTGAGTCTGATTAATTGAAAGTGAAACATCTGTGTGGACACCATGAGGCTATTTGGACACCAGAACGAAGGACATGATGTAAATCAAAACAGCATTCCAGGAAATTATCTTAATGCCAGTTGTGAAGCATTTAGATTGAGGCGATATACTTTGGTAATGCTTTGTTGTAGCTCATTTAACCTACAGTATATTCTACCATGTGTCAGCGGGTACCTGAGAAAAATATGAGACCATAAAAAAACACAACAACGTTAAAAGTGATAGAGAGCTTGACCCTGCAACACAATAACCCCAAACATGAAAGTAAATTCACCATTTACTGTGTAAAAACTGAAAAAAAAAAAGTTGGATAAAATCCCACATTTGATTTGAACTCGCTGAGATGTTGTGAGTTGGCGAACATGCAGGAAACCCCTCAGACATCTGACAGTTGATTCTGACGTGTGACAAACTTTCTCTCTCTAATGCCAAAGACAGTCCAAGTGGGGTACGACTAGATTTTAAAGGGGAGCGTACTCTAATTTGTTGGTCAGCCGGGTTTCCGTTTCATTTCGTTGCATGTAATTTCCTTCCCCAGACATTAAAAACAAGATTAGACGTGAGAATGATTAATTACTTAATTGCGTACCCTAATTTTGTTCACAAATGACATGTAGCACGTAAACAGGACCGTTGCGTGTTTCATGCTGAGGTAAAATGCTGGTGCTTAAGATGATCTTGCTCTCTCTGGGCTCTTTCGCTGTTCCGAAGTGACGCTCCCATTTTTATTATTGGCTCGGAGCGCCGCATCTGTCAAGTGTTTGAAATGGGATAGTTTGGACAAGAATAAACATCAGTCTAATGTGTTTATCAGACACCAAAGCACACACCAACAGCTGTTTATCCAACAGAGAACCCGATCACACACAACAACAACAACAGCCAGAGGAACATGCAATGTGATGGAGCCATACACTGAAAGGGAAGGTGATTTTGAAGGTGTTTTTTATTATTATTATTATTGTTTCGCATGTGTGCGCTGGGCGGTTCTGGAGGTATAAGCTGCCGTAGAACGCTTTCCAATTCTCTAATTTAGACTAAAAAGAGTGATGAAGTGAAAGGCATGCTTGAAAGATTTCCCACTTTTTTTTTTTTTTTTTTTTATGAACTCAATTCCTCAGTATCAGACGTCTAGCAAAGCTGCATGGAGACTTTGCGCTTCATACAAGAAAGACATCACGTGACCTTCCTTCACATCCTCCATCCACCTCATTTTTCTTTATCTAGTCCTGCTGCTACTTAAGTGAGGTAATATCGACAGTAGTTCACCAAAGGGAAGAAGCAGAGTACAGTCGCAAGCGGTTTTTTGAGAAAGAAGCGCTTTCCAGCTCAAGGAGACGGAAAACGTGAGTCTTTGTCCTCACACAAACTCGGCGAGGAGCTTCAGGGACGTGCCCTGCCAGATTTTATAAGTTACAGCTGTTAGACGTAGCACAAACTCTTTGGTTTCATCATTCTCACTTTCAGCCATCTGCGCGTCCTGCCAAAAATGCAAATATGCACCATAGGCGAGACAAATATGCACCTTTACCATCTGCATCCTGGTCGCCATCTTTCTCCCTTCAGCTCCCCTCTGTACATCCATCACACATCCATCAGTATTTATGCATGTGTGGGTCTAGAGTCACTGTTTCTCTTTTTCTTTGTGTTGTACACTTAGACTTGTGTTTCCTGTTTGTAATTTGGTATTAAGCATTTCTGTTTTCACTTCATCTATTTGTTTTTTTAATACGCTTGCATGTGCATTTTTTGTTATTCCTTACCCAGCCTTTTGGTGAACAAAATTATGTAATCTATTGTGCTAGATTGCATGCTGACCGTGTGTTAATTCGTTTGTTTGAGAACTGGTAATTAAGTTAAAGTAGCATGCGAATAGTTGTGTGTCTTTGATGGACTGGTGACCAGTTCCGTGTGAACCTGGCCTGTTCAATGACTGCAGGACAAATGCGCCAACGCAAGCTCCTCCCATCAACTCTGCACCGGACAAAATGGTTACAGTAAATTATTGAGTAGACGTAGGTTAATTTGATCCCAGTTACCGAAAACAAAACAAAAAAATGACTTAAAAAGAGACGTCACTATTGTGAACTGCAGTAAGTGAATATGCGCCATTCATTATTTCTGTACTTTTTTATCTTGTTTTTGACTTGAAACAACAGTTACCTTTTACTTGATAGACTTGATCTGTTTGTTGTGACGACATTAAACAAAATGCTGTTTAACTCTGAGGGATTGTTAACTAAGTCACTTCCAGCAGCAATCTTTGCAACTGTCTGTAATTTCTTATTGCTAACACTACAATGACCTCAAAATATCCTGATATGGCGTCCCCTACAAGATGCTGCCCTGGGTGGTTGCCCAAGTCCCCCATATCAGAAACCGCCACTTCTTGGACTGATGTTAAGACACAGGAGTTGGAGTTGTGCACCACTTTTTCCCTGCTTGACTATTTCTAAGACTCTCCTTCGGTGTGAGAAAGGTGAGTGGAGTTTGACCACTTCACTAGTGTCTGGACTCAGACGTGAGTGAGATGCAAGAGGCATCTGGCTCGCGATTGGACGAGACAAGTCCACTTCACCGAACTCAATGGGACACTTCAGTACACGCGAGCTGTCTGGTGGCCTATCTTGGCTGAAAGATAACGCAACAAAACTGCGTTTGATGCAGACGCACTAATCTAAGTCGGTCGTCTCCACGCTAAGTACGACCATTTAGACCTGAGATACTGTATTCAGCGACAGGACATCGTTCCGGTGCATGTTTGTGTTGTGTGTGCAGTGGCTGCACTAGCAGCGACAGAGACGGATGAGGTGTCTGAGAGGGACAGATGGCCTTATAACCAGCCTCCACTCACTCATTGACTGAGATAAAGTGCAGCATTCACTCACACACCTCCGCATGGACACACACACACACACACACACTATCAAAGATCGTCTTACCAGTTTTGCAAAAGAAACGTGAACGAAAAGGCCGGAGTTAAAATTCACACATGCGTCAACATTCTCAAACAAAAACAGGACAAAAAAAAAAGGATGGCATTTACTGTATTCAAATTGCAAAAGTAAAACATTACCTCTCCCCGATATTGTCGCCACAATGGACTTTCTGACTTTCACCAGAGAATTGCTCTCAGTTACGGTGAGCTTTTGCTCCCAGGTCTCAGTGTTTCCGGATGACCTCAGTGGCCCGGGCAGCCTGTCTATTAAAGAGTCGGGGCTATTAGACCATCAGAAAGTGGGAGCATCCCCTCTTGCTATGGTGATAAGATCAAGGCATTCCGACAGCCAAAGCGGTCATTACCCTGTGCTTTAGCCCGTAATGCGCCTCCATTTAAACACCCCGTTTCCATGGTGCTGCAGCTGTGGCCGTTTAAGCCATTTATTGGTCCCTGCGGATCCCCAACGCACATGGACAAAAAACACACAAACACATGGATGTGTCATTAAATGAATATGCACATATGTACATTGCCATCAAAGCGACACAAGCTGGGCGACACAGGGTGTTCGTGTGGGGTCTGAGGTTGTGCCTGAGTCCCATTAGATACAGTAAGAAAATCTTACTGAGTTAGCCAGTGGACAGAGTTTAGCTTTAACCTCAGATGTGGTCAAACACATCGACAGAAAGACAGAAACACACACAAACAGATCCCCACACAGCGTAAGCAAACACCTCCGCTTGTTCGGAAGATTTTCTGTCAAACAAACCTAGGCCGAGGAGTTTTGAAGCCACACTTGGCCAGGAAGACTTATTCTGTCTACTTAGGTTCTATAAAATTACATTTGTGCTCATTTCACTTTATTTTTAATCTTCACGTCTGTAGTTTATTAGGTTTTATGACCTACGCTTTATTTGATCCTACCTATTTCTCGTTTTCGATGCAACTCCTGTTTGTTTAAAAAGTGTTATGTAAATAAAGTTGACATCAACATTTATCCTTGAACATAAATCATGTTATTTATCATTGACATATCATTTATTAGTAGTGATTTAGAGCTATGTCACCAGTGTTCAACCCATTATTTTATTGTTTTGGAGATTAGACTCACGGTGCTGATAAAAATGTTTAATCTACTGAGCAGATGCATGAAAGTTTTGGCTCTATTGGGTCTTAAAGAGGAGCCATAAAAAGGGTATAAAACCAGAGTGTCCAAACTTATGTATGCATCCTAATTGTTGAAGCTTTTTCTACGTAGTTAACATTTTTCCCCGTTCATGCTTGTTTTCAATTGATTTGCACAATATATGGGTTTCATGACAGGTGAAACAAAGTTTGAAATCAATTGCTATTCTAAACTAATGTCTTAAATCACGAGACAACTTCACAATTTGAAAGGAGTGAGTACATTTTTAATATTCACTTCAAATAACATATCTTATATATCTGCTTTAAAAACTAATGCTGAGCTTAAATGTTTCAAATGTTGGCATACAAACAACATTTTAGTGGTTATTTTTCACTATTTCCGGAATGAACAAAGGACAAAATGTTACCGTTTGAGAGCAAATCAAACCAACATTTTTTTTGAGGTAGAGTTCAAAAACTTCAACTTGAAGTTAGTTGCCTTATAAGTAAAAATTTGTTTTCTGTCTTATACAAACAAATTTGAGCATTCATGACGTTATAAAATATGCCATAAAGTAGTTTAAATTGATTTAACTTTGGATAGAATACACCTATGATGTTGTAAAAACACTTATATTACATACGGCATAACTGCTGTTTAGGAGAACAATCAAGATTTTATGATCTCTGAAAAACTGGTATAAATGATAACTAGAGCCTCCAATCTTTCTGTTGTCACAGCACAAAGCAAGAAACTTCATCTGACAAAGAAGACTCTCGGCACAATGTGAGCATAGACACAGGAATTGCCTCACAAATCAGCAACAGGTTGCTTATTTTACAGTTTGTTGAACTTGTTTTATTTATAAGAGGAGGGGGACGTTAGGGGCTAGAAAACAAGCAGGGCCTGCTTCTTCTGCACACGCTGAGGAAAAATGAGTCTGTGTTTCCCTCTGGTGGAGAAATAGAAAACAAACACAAGTCAAACTGCAGTCTTTAATTGCTGAGGAAATCTTGTGCCGAAGATGTTTTTTTGAAACATACCAGACGCAATGAAAGTTTTAGCTTCATTTTTTAGCTTCTCAAAATGTATAGACTTAATATACTGACATGAATGAAAGTAATAAGACAGAGTATTAGGGCCATTAAAAGTAGACAAAAAAGAAAGAGTACATTTCTGTTAAGAAACTCAGAAAATTTGGTATTAATCTGAAAACTTTTCTAGAAAAAACCCCAGACATTTCTGAGCTTCAAAAGTCAAAAATATGCAAGAAAAAACTCTGAAATTTTGAGATAAATCCCTAATATCTGAGTTAGAAATACTTAATCTCTATTCAGTGACAGGGTGATTAATTTGCTCTCTATTGTAACCATCAGGCCCAAGATGGGGTTTTGCAATAGATTCTGATTGTTTTTCTTTCAAATAACCCAAAGTCGTGTCATGTTCAGGAGCTGATTGATTCGTTGCACCACTTGTTTCTGAATCACATCAGAGTTCCTGACAATAACCCAACTATACTGCAAACTTTGTTACTATCACATATAGATGTACATTCAGAGTATTTGTCAGCATTATGCAGCTATTGTCTTTTTTGTAAAAGTAGTTTATAAGAACAAAAATTGGTTATTTGCCTTGGCTGGAATTATACAGCATTAAATAAATGTGAAATCGGTGCAGTAAGATTAATTCACTAAATCTATTTCTGCATAAACTGTTGCCACAAAAGTTGGACTCACTTGGTTTTCAGTCTTATGCCCATTTTTATCCTTATCATTATTTATTGGGTTTAGAAGAGACTAATCAACATTTTTTTTTCTTATAAGAGATATATACACTTTATATATTTCATATTTT